GGGAGCAGTCGACTATACAGTTGGGGATCACTTCACACTGCCTCAGGCCCTTCCTGTTTGTACCCAGTCAAAGGGGCGGCCCAAGGATGAGCTGTGGGGACCAAGGACAGTCTGTCCAGGATGCCAACATGTTCCTGCAAAGGACTAGAGTGTTTTGGACTCTGAGTGCCGCCGGCAGGCTCTGTCTCACCTCCTAAGCTTTACTGCACAGCCAGGAAAGGAGCCATAGACAGTGCAGAAAGGAAATGGCAAAGCTATGTTCCAATAAAACTTTATTTACAAAAGCAGGCGGGGGCTTTGCTTACGAGAATTCCAGGATGAACTTGAATGAGGGTATAAAACTGAAATACTTATAAAAGCATTTGGCTTTCAGCCAGTGAGATGGTCCAATGGCTAAAGGTACTTGTGGATGACGATACAAACTATACCACCTTCATACAGGATGTGACCGCATGACTAATGGGATCAGAGGTGAGACTGACATCTTGTTTTAAAAGATCATGAGCATTGTAATGGGCATTTCCTAAGCATATTCCTGGATATGAAGTCACCAAACCACATGTGAGCCTCGAAAGCATCCTTCATGTCGTTTTACAGGTCGGGAAACAGAGGCAGTTTTACATGTGGGTGGGTGCACTGGTGACCTGAGTCCAAGCCCTGAAACTATGTGAAGGTGGAGGGACAATTCCAGAAGGCTGTCCCCTGACCTCCATGCACATACACAAAATTAAATAAAATAGACTTTCAGAGAAAAGGGTTTGTTTACAATTAAAATCTTTTTTCATATTTTATTTATTATTTTTATTTTGTGTGTATATGTGTATTGCCTGCATGTAGGTAAGTGCACCCATGTTGTACACTGCCTGCGGAGGACAGAAGAGGCTGTCGGATCTCCTGGAACTGGAGTTATGGACAGTTGTTAGCTGCCATGTGGGTGGTGGGATTTGAACCTGGGTCTTCTGCAAGAACAACCAGTGTTCTTAACCGCTGAGCCATCTTTCCAGTCCTTGTTTACAAATTTTAATCTAACAAGATAATTAAAACAAAAAATTAAAATAACCATCAAGGGAATAAAAAAAGAGTTTCAGAGGCTGGAGAGATTAAGTGATTAAGTGATTAAGAGCATACAGAAGATGGGGGTTCAGTTCCCAGCACCCACATAGCAGCTGACAACCATCTGTAACTTCAGTTTCAGGAGATCTGATGCCCTCTTCTGACCTCCATAGGCATTGCACATGCATGGATACACTCATATATATTCAGGCAAACCACTCATATACATAAAATAAAAATAAAGTGATTAAAAATTTTTAAAAGGGGGGCTGGAGAGATGGCTCAGCGTTTAAAAACACTGCTCTTGCAGAAGACCCAGGTTCGAATCCCAGCACCCACATGGCAGCTAACAACTGTCCGTAACTCTAGTCCCAGGGGATCCGACAGCCTCTTCTGTCCTCCACAGGCATTGCACGACACGGGTGCACTTACCTACATGCAGACATAACACAAAATTAAACAATTTTAAAATGAGTTTCAAATAAATTGAGGGAATAAGAGCTCAATTTGAATGAAGACGAGAAGAGAACAACACAGACATCAGAAACACAAAAGAACATTCCGGAAACAAAGATACGTTTTGGTGATCACAGAGAATTTGAATAAGAAAAATCCTCCAAATAAGAGAGAAACTCAAAATCCAGCCAGCGCTGCTACAGGGGAGATGTCTGTGCAAGACACAAAGCGTTTCCAGCCTGAGCAAGTGCTGAGTGACCAGTGCTCCTGAGAGAGAAGAAAATTCAGAACAGAACAGAGGGCTGGGGAGACGGCTCAGTGGGTAAAAGTGCCTGCCGCCAAGCATGATGACCCACGTTTCACCCCCAAGGTCCACATGGTGGAAGGAGAGAACTGACCGCAAGTCCTCTGACCTCCACGGGCATGTCATGCCCCCACCAAATACATAAGACGTAACCGAATATTTTTAAAAAATGATTTTGAAGTGTTGTGTGAAAGAAGAGAAGGTTAACACTCCCTTTGACAAGGAAGGAAGAGGCCCTTGGGCCTCAAATAAAAAATGTGGTGGTGCACACCTTTAATCCCAGCACTCTTTGTGAGTTCAAGGCCAGCCCGATCTACATAGTGAGTTCCAGGACAGCTGGGCTACAGCATGACCCTGTCTCAAGAAAGATCAAAACCAACCAACCAACCAAATAAACAAACAAACAAACAAAGTGGAATAGAATCCTAGGGACTAGAGAGACCACTCAGCCACTTAAGAGCACTGGCTGCTCTTTCAGAGGACCCAGGTTTGGTTCACAGCATCCACATGGTAGTTAGTAACTGTTAACTCTGGTTCCAGGGAATCTGACACTCTCTTCTGGCCCCCATAGGCACTTCACATGTAGTACATATACATACATGCACATAAATTTTTTTTTTTAAGAACAGAATCCAGGGTTAGGAGCTTTGCTAATACAAGATCAGTACATAATAATATATAGTATACAAATTTTGCATGTACATCTAAATATAAAATTGCAGTGCATTTATAAACTAAGTTTATCGTTTATGCTGGGATATCAAGAGAACGAAGGAAGGAAATACTACCTGGGTACTTACAGACACTGTCACCCAGCAGGTAGGAACTGGCCTTGCCCACAAGTGCACCTGGCCTACTTGCAAACTGACCGGGCCTTACTTAGCCCAAGGCTGGTATGATGTTTAGTTTTGTCAACTTGATAGACTCAAGCTGGGAGACAGGCCTCTGGGCACCCCTGTGGGGGATCATCTTGATCACAGTAACCGAGGTGGGAGGAGCCATTCCCTAGGCAGGAACCCCTGGATTGTACAGGTGAAGACTGTAAGCTGAGCACAGGTACTCACTGTGCTCTTCTGACTGCAGATGTAATGTAACTGGCTGCTTCAAACTGCTCTCCCTTAAGTTGCTTTAAAATTAAAAAAAAATTATTTTATTTATTATTATTTATTTTATTTTGTGTGGATGCTTGCATGTATGTAGGTGTACCTGTATTGTGCAGTGCCCAAGGAGGTCAGAAGAGGGCGTCAGATCCCCTGGAACTGGAGTTACAGACAGTTGTTAGTCGCCATGTGGATGCTGGGAATCGAACCTGGATCCTCCGTAAGAGCAGTCGGTGCTCTTAACTGCTGAGCCATTTCTCTACTCCCAATTTATTTATTTATTTTTTATGTGTATGAGTGTATTGCCTGCATGTGTGTAAAGGCACCCATGTCATGCAAAGGCTGTTGAGGCCAGAAGAAGGTGTTGGATCCCCTGGAACTGGAGTTACAGACAGTTGTTAGCCATCATGTGGGTGCTGTGACTAGAACCTGGGTCCTCTGCAAGAGCAGTCAGGTTAAAGGTGTTCTTAACCTCCCTTAAATTGCTTTTGTTAGTGTATTTTATCACAGCAACAGAAAAGTAACTAAGACAGTTGAGCTCAGCAAGCACCAGAAATCTCACAGCAGCAAGAACCCAACTCCCAACAACACAACTGACCCAGAAGTCGATAACCTTTAAATAGCAATGGAAAGCTCATGTGGATCTAGAAATTAAGGGTAAATAGTAGCTCACAAATCAGGAAAAAACTCAGAACAGACATGAGAAAATATTTAAAATGAATATTACAAAACTTTGCATCTGCTCAATCCTGGAGTGAAGCAGAGGTTAGCTGTGGGGTTGCTCCAGGGGCCCAGGGGCCCTAGAGGAGGAGGAGGGGTGGAGGAGGATGAGGAGGAGGGGGAGAGGGAGAAGAAAGAAAAGGAAAAGAAGTTGGGGAAAGAAGGGAGGAGGAAGAGGAGGAGGGGGAGATGTGGGGCTTTGGTGGGGTCAAAGAGACCCTGGCCGTTCCAGAAATCATACTGCAGGGAGAGGGGAGGGAGGGACAGAGGAGGAGAGGGCCCCTCTTATACCCCATGGCCAGATGTGAGAGCATCAGCTGTTCCCTAGGAGCCTCAAAGGCAGGTGTTTTGAGCCCAGAGAGCCCCAAACGTCCCGGGGGGGCCCTGTCACCCCTGTTACTCCTGCGTTGGAGATGGCAGTGCCTACCAACCCTTGCAGGTGAACCCAGAGGACAGTGGTTACACTCCACAAGGGTTCTTGCCAGCTGCTCTGGGTGGAAGTTGCCCACCCCATCTACGGGTAGAGCCCATTTATGTTTCACGGCTGTCCCCTAAGCAATGACAGATGGATGATTCCCTGAGGAGACATTCTGGTGTTTCAGGCTGTAGTGCCCTGGTGTTACAGCCAGGCCCAGACGAATACATCACCTGTAGCCATGGTAGGAATGGCAAGTATGGCCTTTCTTCCTCAGGTGTGTTCAGGGACCCCAGGCTCAAAGGGGATGAAGGCTGGGAGGGGGGGCAGGGCTGCCCCCACCCAAAGGGAAGCATCCTGCTCCTCCATGTGGTCCCCTGGGTGGGGCAGGGACCAATATGTGCAAAGTCAGTGACTGAGACACCTGAGGTCCACCCAAGAGCAGCCCTGGCCACACTTCTATCTTGGTGGGTCCCCAGCCTGGACCCCTCTTATCAAATTGCAATAAGCAGAGCCTGTCTTGAAGGTTCTTATTACTGACTGGGACCTTCTGTGGGGATGCACCAGGTGAGGGGGCAGGAGGGACCCCCCAGGAGCATGAGCTCCTGCTGCTGAGCCACCTGGAGACTGCAGTGGGCACTCTGCCCACTGCGGTGCTGACCACAAGGGGGCTGGCCTGGTGGGCGGGGGACCTGTCTGCTGTCTGCAGCAGCCCAGAGTCCTGCAGAGGCAGGAGGGGCGGAGGCAGAGATGGCAGAAGCAACTGCGCCAGCAAGCCAGGGCAGAGCTCTCTGGAAGGCGCCTCGGGGTCCACGCAGGTCAGTGCCCCTCCTGTGGTCTCTCTCGAGTCAGCGACAAGGCCCTGGGAGTGGGTAGGGGCCCCTGGGCAGACTCCCCTGTCTGAGTGGGTGGGGTGAGGGGCAGGTGGCGGGGGCAGGGTATCCTCACTCACCTCTGCTGTAGAGGACGCTCAGGGCCACCAGGGATCCCAGCAGCAGCAGCAGCAGCAACAGCCCGCCCTCCAGGAAGCCTGAGCTGGTCTGCTCAGACCCGTCCGCTCTCTCCACCATCCCCACTGCGCTCTCACTCTCCGACTTCCCCATCAGTCAGCTCTGGGTGGGAAAGCACACAGCTGAGCACCCCAAACCAGGACCAGGAGAGAGGTAGCCTGAGCTTGGATGCCCTGACCGCACTAGAGCTCTAGAGCTGGTACTTTGGGGATGCTGTGTTCTGGTCTCCCCTCTCAAAGCTGCAACTCCGGCCCTGGATGTCCTGGTCTCATGGTTTCCTACTAGCCCTAGGCAGGGGTCTCTGAGTACCCTATGTAAAAGGAAGGACTGGCCAGCTGGCCATGACTTCTCAAGGTCAGTTTCTCTTTTCTACCACTCTCTGGCAGGCAGGGACTGATTGGTCCTGGGGATATTTTGCTCACAGCCTGGGGTCTGCACGCGGTTTCCAGAAGTCTCAGCCTATGCTGTCCATTGGCCTTTGCAGTAGAGCCTACCTGGGCTGCCTGTGCCCAGGGGGTCCTGGAGTTATGGGTCTGGGAGCTGGGTTAGGGATGCTGCTGGGGCCTTAGGCTCCCTGGCTATAGTTCCTGTTGGAATCCAGGAATTGGGGAGAGGAAAGAGCAAAACCAGGTATGGATGCCATGCAGGACAAGAATAGGATGGCAGACAGCGTGATGTTCAGCCTCAGCTGGCTGGGAGCAGCTCTGGTCATCACCCTCACCTTGTCACTATATGGAGGACAACTTCCCGAGGCACTGTGAGGTAGACAGGCATGGAAGACATACCCCACAGGACTGGGGACAAGTTGCTGCTGTGAGCAGGACAGGTGGCTGGGCAGGGACAAGGTGGGGACAAGGGCAGGTCACTGGAAGGCTCCTGAGCTGGAATGCTCCTCCCAGCTCCACTCACTGAGGCTTTCAGGTGTCTGTCTGACAAATGGCTCAGCTTGGGGAGGGGTCTTAGACTGCCGGGTCAGTCCTCACAAAGGTGGCCAGCTATTTATCTATGACATGATGCAGAGTGGCCTGAGCCCTGGGTCTCATTCCCTTCTCCCTAGTCACCCCTCCGTCCTATCTCCTGGTACCCACTTCCTCTGATGAGCAGTGGTCACATACCCAGCACCTGCCTGCCACCTCCTCTGGAATGCTCACAACCATGGCTGTGTTACCCTTTGCACTCCCAGAAGGCTCCGTTGAGAGCTCAGCTTTCCCCAGACAGCCCCATTCTCAAGTCGCTGACGTCAAACCTTGGCGTCATCCTTGGCCCCACACCCTTCCGTTCCTGAGCCTCTAGTTCTTCCAGAGTCTGACCCTAGATCCTTCCTACTTTCCTCTCCTTGCCCCAGGCTCCCATCTCTCTGAGCTGCAGCCACCCCTGCCCCCACCGCAGGGTATGTCCCCATCTATCCCAGGAGTCCCTTGACAGGGAAGACAGAGGATGTCACTCTCCAGCCTTGGATCAGTAGCTCCTCACCGTCATCCCAGGGCTCTGTGGCCCCACCGCCTCACACTGTGCCCCTAGGTCTATGCCCCCCCCACCTCAAAGAACTTTTTGTCAGGACTCCCATCCCCCAGGTCCTCACCAAGGTCACTTTTTCCTGACCTGGCTTGTGAGTTCAACTGAGTGAGGCTTAGCCCTGCTCCTGCTTGGTGTCCCCCTGGTACACAGTTCTACATCCCCATGTTTTAATTTATATCATCCTGTGTTCCCAAATGGGGCACCCACAGCATCAGCTGAATGAAGGACTGAATCAGCAAATGCACAAGAGAGTGAGTGTGTGGGCAAGCGGGCTCCGACCAAGCCTGGGCCTGAGCCTGGCCTTTGCCGCTCTGGTTCCACCAGCCAGTTCCGACTCTGATGAATCGGCTGATTCTCTCCTGCCTTCATTCAGTTCCGCAAACTTCCTGCTGACAAGGCACAACCTTCACATGAAGGTGCGTGGCCTGGAGAACCTATGTTGGGGAGGAGGGAAGGGGGAAAGGGGCGGTGTGGCCAGGTCCTGAAGTGCGTCCTCATCTGCCTGGAGTTGTTCCAGGGGCCTCTCTGGGTTGTCACGAAGGAGACGGGGACCTTGCATCCACTCAGCTGCTGGTGATGACACCTTTGAAATGCCAACCTGCCTGCTCTTTTCCTGCCCCTGTGTGAAGTGCCTGGGTGCTCAGAGGTCACCATGATAAAGCTTAGGTGTTGGGTGTAACTGCTTGCTTGGAATCCTGGCACTGGGGAGGCTGAGGCAGGAGAAGTGCCTCGAGTTTAAGGCCAGCCTGGCTTATAGAGTGAGACTGTTTCAAAACAACAACAAAACAAGAAACCACCCAGTGGAGCGGCCTGGCAGGCTCCTCTCAGTGAACCTTACCAGGTGATCTCAAAGGCTGGGTTGGGATGTCTGAGCTGGGCTGTGTTGGCCAAGGGGTGGGCTCGGGTGGAGGGGGGCAGCAGTCAGGTAGGTCTCGCTGTGAGGTCATGTGTTGCTGGCTTCCGGGTCTCCTTTGTGATGGCATGAACTCCTTGGAGGTGGTGACATACTCAGGGGTTCCAGAGGCCTTGGTGTGGGGGAGGGGCAGGTGTGCTCCTGATCATGGGGACCCTGCTGAGTGGGAGCCCTGAATCCACAGCTCCCTCATCCTCTCCCTTCCTTCTCTTGACTCTGGTCCAAGGGGTCCACGGACTGCTGGGAAGAGAATCCGGTTGCTCACCTGGCCTGAGGTGTTAGCAGGGTTTCTGTTTCAGGCTGTTGTGGGGGGCTCTTCCATGAGTGTGTCTTTCCCAGTAATCTCTGGATGGAGGGGTAAGTTCTGGGGCGCCTTGCCAGTGTAAGGGAGGCCCTGCGCACCATGATGGGCAGGCAGGGTGGTAGAAAGAGCCTCACCTGAGATGACAGTGAGGGGCTGGGCTGCTTCTCAGGGCCTGTGGGGGGAGCTGTGAGGTTCAGACTCCAGCCCAGGGCCAGACAGCCTGGCTAGGGAGCTGGGAGAAGGGCTCTGAATCCAGGGCCTGTCCTCCTGGGTCTCGGACTATGAACTAGGGGGGCCGGACTTCTGTAAAGGAAGTGGTAGGGCTCTGAGCAGGAGCCCAGGTAGACTTCCCTCTCAGGCCTGACAGTGTGACCCATGGACAATTGCTCCTGCCCAGCTGGGCTGCTGGCCTCTAGGGGTGTCTGGGAGGGCTGAGTTACAGGCCCAGGGTGCCATGATAACCAGCTGTCCAAAACTTTGGGTCCATAATGCTCTGATGGCATTTGAGGGTGGCGTATAGCTTGGGAGGGGGCGATCTCCAGCCACAGGGCTGGTCTTGGTCCCCAGACATCTCTGGGTGCCTCGTGTGTAAAATGTTTTGCTTTATGGTATATTAGTTACTTTCTCATGGCTGTGAAGGTACAGTCCATCATGGTGGGGAAGGCATGGTGGCCAGAGTGTCAGGCAGCTGTTCACACTATACCTGCAGTCAGGAAAGAAAGTGATGAAGGCTGGTGCTCAGCGCACTTTCTCCTTTATTCAATCCAGGACTGCTGGGTCAGTCCTTACAAAGGTGGCCAGCTATCTATCTCTGACATGGTGCAGTGGCCTGGGCCCTGACCCTCTCCCCAGCCATCCCTGTCTCCTGGTACCCAACCTCCCAATGAGCAGCGGTCACATACCCAGCGCCACTTACCATGGGATGGTGCCACCCACATCCAGAGTGGTTTTTCCATCCTCAGTTAAATCTCTCTGGAAACACCCTTACACACACACTCAGAGGGTTATTCCCTGGGTGATTCCAAGTCCAGCCAAGTTGACAGTGATTAAACATCACAGATGGATTTGTCATGAAAGAGACTATATGTCCAGTATACACACCCAGTATAAAGGTATAGTCAGGCTTCACCTGCAAGGGGTTGGGGCAGGTGAGGGGAGGGACTTGATCACCTGAACAGAGGCACAGCTGATCGGGGTCTTCTGGGCGCTTCAGCACTTTGTGGTATCTATTTCTGTGATTCCCCAAGAGTTAGCTGTATCACAGCTGCCCCAGTTATAGTAACAGCTTTATAATGACCAATAGCTCTCCGTAGTAAACTGGTGTTATGAGACTGTCTGCTGTGGTTGGTTCCTGGCTCCTGTGTAGACCCTTCCTGCTGCCTACATTGATGGGGAGAGGTCATGTAAAAGCCTGGAGGTAGGGTTGGAAGTGGCTTGGCCATCCCAAGGCTGACTTTAGGCCAGCTCCTTCCAGCAGGAAATATGAGTCAGGGATCTGGGGTATTGGGGCATTTTGGGCACTCAGGTTGTCAGTGGGCTGGTTGTGAGGCCCTGATGGGATCCAGAGCTCAGAGTCCAAGCACTGAGGCTTGCTGTGATGGTAACACATATTCTGGGGGGTGGTGGTGGTTCTCCTGGTGGTCCCACAGTGCCGACAGGAACAAGTTCAACCTCGTTTCCTGAGAGTCTGAACTGTCACAATCACTGCTGCTCACAACCAGTTCCAGCCAGAAGCTCTGGCAGAGTGGACTGGCATCTCAGTATGAATTCTTGTGTGTGCGTGCATGCGTGTGTACATGTGGAGGTCAAGGGTACTGTCTCCTCAGGCACCACGGTTTCTTTTTGAGACGGGGTCTCTCACTGGCTTGGAACTCCCCAAACAGGCAACCTGGCAGATCCGCAAGCCTTGGGGATCCTGTTGTTTCCGGCTGCTGGGGTTATAGGTGTGAGTCACTATGCCTGGCTTTTCTTTTTATTTTCTTAAACATGGGTTCTGAGGATTGAACTCAGGTCCTAGTGCTCCCAAGGCAAGCACTTTACCAACTGAGCTGTCTCCTCAGCCCCTTAATGAGTTCATATGGAAAATTTAGGGCACTGAACAGGAGCAGGACCCTGAAACTTGGAATGGGGGCATCTGGATGAGCTGAGGTGAGGTGAGAAAACAGAGCTCCGACCCCACCAAGTTCCCCAACACCACAAGTGTTCGTGGGTGCGGATGTAAGAAACATTAAACATTAGTCTTTTCTTTCAAACCCTGTAAAACTTGGAACTTGGCTTATGACAAGGAATTCTAATCTTTTGATCCCATCATACTCTGTAAGACTTCTGGCCCTGATGCATTCCAGAGCCTGATGGCCTGAGGTGGTTCTCTCTTTGCACTGGTTCATTTAAATCAGCCAACCAGAAAAGACTGTGAGGTCAGACCCCAGTTAATGGGGAAAACACACTCTTACATTAGGGATAAAAGCCCACCAAGCTCTGGGCTCTTGTGAGTACTTGCTGGATCCAACTGACCACACAAGTCACCCTCTTGCAAAAGTAAAACCTGCCTTGCTGGGTTATTTCACCTTGTTAGTGTGTTCTTTGTGCGGTACTGACGGTCCTTAGACTTTGGATTTTTTCTAACAAAGCACATCAACCTTTTCATCTGAAGACCCCACAATGATTTCCTCAGTGCCAAAAGACCTGGCTCTACACCGACCTGGCAGGTGAGGTCTTGAGAGCCCCTGGGTATGGATAAATACCAGGTTGGGCCTTGGAGGCCATGACAGACACACCATGACACCTGCAGGATTTTACAGATTCACACTTGAGAGTCCTGAGGGAGTGGGAACACAGTCCAGGGTGACAGCCAACTGGGCTGGGATGGCTGCACCCACATAAATATCCTGACATATCAGCTCATACTCTGCTGGAAGCGACCAGTGGTTTGCTTGTTGCAGTCAAAGCTGGACTCTGCAGTCTTCAGTAAACTAGACAAGAGATGCCAAAGGAGAGAACCACACAAGGGCTGGACACCCTGGCCCTTGGGACACATGATCTGGGTTTTCTTTGTCCAGTCAAGCTCAGAGGCAGAGCTACGAAGGAAGGAGCTAGATTAGGGGTATGAGGTCGGGGGCTGCAAAGAGGTGGGTGGATCTGCAGAGGGTGAACTTCTGGATTGGGGAGTCAGTTGCCCTGGGAATGTCCTGAAGGTGCAAACCTGAGCCAGTGTATGTACATGCATGACTTCTAGAACCCTCTCCCAAGTTCTCCGGGCTGCTGGAGTGCCTGATCTGGCCTGGGGCCACTTTGTGAGACAACATGTGAACTGAGGGGTTTTGGTCAGCTAAGACATCCATCCTCAGAGACCAGGGATCTGTGATCAGGGCAAAGTTGGAGGTGGGGAGGGGACACTGACTCAGTTTACTTAGGCTGCTAGGAGAAAATACTACACGCCAGGTGTGGGAAATGTAAATGCAGAACACTGGCTTTTCTATCAAAGGGTTAAATGAAACAAAAGGGAGAACACCATTTGGAAGAACGCCCCCCTTAGCATTTTTCTAAATTAAAGTTTGTGTTTAAGGTCGCATCCTGCTCTGAAAAGCTGCATTGTGTTTATCTGCTGAGTGGTTTTGAATTACTCAGTTGCATAAGAATGTGAGGCTAGCTCTGACCACTCAAGTGTGACACAGGACCTCTATGTGCTAGGAATAGAAACCCAGCAGGAGATGGTCACCGGGTAGGGCTTGCTTGCTGGATTTAGAGCAGCTCTGCACCTTTCTGCAGAAGGGAAACTTTGCCTTGCCAAAATACTTTGCATAGTGTGGTCATTTTCTTAGGACCCCAGACCCACTTCTGATCCCAGGTACCTTAACAAGCAAGGTTTACCTTTTGTAGCTCTGGAACTACAAGTCCTAGGCTGAGACACAGGTGGGTGCGTGCATCCTGGTTTGTAGGCAGCACCTCTCCACTCTGTCCTCATGTGGGAGGGGTGAGGGGGGGGTCTCGCTTACAAGGGCACTGATCCCATTCTTTAGAGCACTACCCTCCCAACCTCCCTATCCTCAGGCCAAAGCCCCCATGTTATAACTATCCATTGGTGCTGGAATCTGAACACATAAATACTGGGGGCCCCTTCAGACCACAGCAAAGGGCCAGATAAGCAAGGCCCTAAGACCCCTTCCAGATGAACTCTGGGATACTGGATGATGCCCCTTGTGGCAGGAGAAGCAGGAGGGGAAAGGGCTAGGAAGGCCCTGGAGGAGCTTACACCAGGTTTGAGCATTTTCATGCTTATTATGACAAGCACTTGTGTGTCCTTGAGGTGTGTGTATGTTTATAAAGAATGTATTAAATCAGCTTACATTGAAATAGTAACATTGGTCTTACATCGGAGAGGCTGAGAACCACAGGGCTGGGTGCCTCAGCACCCCAATCTGGCAATGAAAACCTGGTGGGTTCCTGGAGAGCCTCTGGTTCTCAGTAGTGGAAGCCTGGAAACACTGGTATCAGAACCAGTAGCAGTATCAACGGGACAAATCCACCTAGTGGTGAGGGAAGGACAGGTAAGCAAAAGGCCAATCTTCCTTCTGCCCTTTTGTATCTGGGCTGTTAGCAGAACGTGCCGCCCACATTTGGGGTGGGTCTTCCCCACATCAGTTAAGGCAATCAAGATGTCTTCAGGTGAGGCTTTCTATTTAGGTGACTAATTTGTGGCAAGGTGACATTAAAACCAACACACTCGGCCTACACTTCTCTCCCAGGGCCCTGAGGTGCCAGTCCTGAGCCCACCTGTGGCTACTTCAAAGCCAGTGCCCAGATGTGCACAGAGAACTTTAGCTTCGGTGAGCCAATCAGGATGGCCCTTCTGCACAAATAGGAAGTGCCCCCTCTATTCCTAAGGTGACAGGTGGGGAAGGAATTGCTCAGATCTCTTGAACCTGGGATGGGAAGTCAGGTGCTGGTGGGTGGGTCAGGCAGGTCAGCTGCATGTTAGTGCAGCCGGCAGCCGGAGGACGCCTCCTTGCGAGTCCTTGCCTTCAGCCTTTTCAGCTCACGGTGGCTGGGGTCCACTAGGAGGCCACTCTGGGCTGCTGTCCAGGCCTCTTCATAGCGCTGATCCTCCAGACAGCGCTGTCCACGGATCAGGAACACAGTGGCTGTGGGGGCCTGGCCGGGCTGCTTCCACAGGCTGTTCTGAGCCTGGGCTGGTGACAGTGCCAGGGCCTGTGTGAAGGCCCCTGCAGCCCCCTCCTCATCCCCCAAGCTCAGCAGCAGACGGCCCTGGGAGCAGAAGTCCTCTGCCCTCCTTGACAGGTCACTGTCCCTCGCAGCCTCCTGAAGCACACGATTCAGGTCCCTGAGTGCCCTGTCAAACTCCTGCAGCTGGGCCAGGCAGGCTGCCCGGAGACGCAGGTGACAGGGACTACTGCCACCGGCCAGGACTGCCAAAGAGCAGTAGCCCAGTGCCTGCTGGGGTTGCCCTGTATCCAAGAGAGTGCTTGCTTTCTGGGCTGCAGCCTGTATAGGGAACACATGGAGGGAACACAGGATCAGTCCTTCTGCACAGCTGACCCCTGCTGGTTGCTGGGCAGGCCTGGTCATCGGCAGGGGTGGGGCTCTTTAGGAAGAGAACTCCTCTCTGTGACTCCACCACCCTGGGAGTTTGAGCCCAGATGACAGCGTCCTTTGTGTGTGTGTGGTGGGGGTTGAGTCAGGGCCTGGCTTTCCCCATTGGCAGCTCTATAGCCCCACCTATTGGTACAGCTGCTACTGGGTGATTGCCTGGGGATCCTTCCTTCCACCCCCCCTTAGCCAGGCCCCAGAGCTTCCGATCTTGCCCCATGCTCGAGAGCTGGGCCTCAGACCTAGCGCTGCTCCTCGCGGAAGCTCACCCACATGCCCGGCTGTTCTCGCCTGGAAGCCTTGCTCCAGCAGCGTCCAGCCCCACCCTCAGTGTGTGAGTGTTAGGGGGTCTTCCTTTCCGAGGCCTTTTACTGCACAAGCCTGTCTGCCTCCCCTTGGTCTCTAGTTGCTTCATTTTCTGGGCTGAGGCAGAAGCCTGCACCCCTAAACCTCTTAAAAAATATATTATCTTTATGTATAGGAGTGTATTGCCTGCATGTGTGTAAGTGCACCCGTGTCGGGCAATGCCCAGCAATGCCCGCAGAGGTCAAAAGGCGTTGGAGCCCCTGAAACTGGAATTATGGGTGGCTGCTAGCTGCCATGTGGGTGCTAGGACTCGAACCCGGGTCCTCTGCAAGCTCTTAACCGCTGAGCCATCTGTCCAGCCGCATGGTGTCTTGGTCTTATCTGACCCTGTTTCTCCAATCAACCACGAACAGAAATCTTTGTCCACCAGCCTCACATGGCTCCGCCTCTGCTTGGGAACCTACACCTCTTCCCCAGTGCCCAGAAATAAGGGCCAGCTCTGCAAGCGTCCTCTTTGGAGCGCACCCCGCCGAGGCCATGCAACGCCCTACCCCGTCCTAACTCTTCCCACCCGGGGAAAGCACGGAGCGTCCCAGGCTCTGCGGGGTCACCCTACAGGGCGCAGAGCTGATACCAGCTGTCCTGGCTGGGAAGCATGAAGGTCCCTGGGCCGGGTGGGGCAGGGGACGTGGCCTTCCCGCCATCGCTCGCCTGGGGCGCAGAACCACTCGTGCGCACTAGACCGCGTGCTCCGAGGCGCGCACACGGTTATCCGCTCCGATTCCCTGCAGTGGCCGCACCCAATCCCCCCAAATACGAGCGAATCAGGGAAGACGCGCTAGGCAGAGGCCCCGCCCGCCCCGCTCCGGGGAGGAGCCTTAGGGCGCACAGTCGCAGAACCGCCCCAGGAAATCAGGAGGCCACTTCCGGGTCAACCTTCGGTCGCTGGGCAACCGCATGGGGTCTTGCCTAAACCAGTCTGAGGTGGAGGGGGGCTGGATGTCCAAACCCCTTCGGGCTCCGGGATCCCCGACCCTTCTCGGACCCTGGGATTCGCTCGAAACCCTCTCAAGCTCCCCTGGAACGTCCCCAGGTCTCTATCCCTTGTCCCCACTCCATGCACAAGCTCCAGGACCCTGGTGCAGCCCCATCCAACTCCGGGATCCCCCCTCCAGTGACCCCAGCCTGGCCTCCCTTCTTAGAGCTTTGGGACGCCAATCTGGCCTCCTGTGAGCTCCATCCTTTCCAGCGCTCCAGCGCATGTTCCCCTCCCCACGAGAGCTCGCCCTCTCCCCCCATCCCCTCCTGCTCTGACACTACACCTTTCTCCCTTCTCTTGGTCACAGGCCTGACCTCAGTCCCTTAGAGTTCTGGGACTCCAGCCTGGCCCCTCCTCTGAGCTCTAGTTAAGCCAACACGATCACAGCCCTAGGAAGCGCCCCCCCCCCAACCCTGCTTAGCCAACCCTGCAGTTCCAGAACCTCACCATAAGCTTTTCCCATGGGGCTCAACTGGCAGAATTCAGAACCACGGAGAAAGGGAGCATGCCGAGAGACACTTGCCTCGTCCCTCACTCCAAGCTCAAACTCTGGGCTGGCACACCCTCCTCCCCTGGCCTTCCCTGCCTGAGCTTGGTGCTGGGGTGGGCCTTGTGGCCAGGGCAAGGTGCCCAGGCCAGGTCACTACAGATGAAATGCACAAGCGGCCCGGGCTAGTGTTTCCAGAGGGCTTCCCTGACCAGACCTGGCTGCTCCCACTAGACCCCACCCCAAACCCAAGGGAGCCGGCCAACAGCAGGAAAGGGAGGGGTGCCTGGGGTTCTGAAGCCTGTGTGCAGGCTGGCTGGGGCTCCCCCAGTGTGGGGCTGATGGGGTGCTGGGCACCTGGGTGAGGCTCTGCCTCTCTGAGGATTCAAGGAGACGCAGCAGAAAACCGAGATCCTGGGTATCTGTCTCTGCCAGGCGCTGCAGGTCCTGGGCTGCGGCTGGCATATCTCCCTTTTTAAGCCTGAGAAGGCCTCGCCGGGCCTGGGCAGCCTCTGATGGTGGCATCAGGTGCAAGGCTTCTTGCAAGCAGGTGCCAGCCTCCTGGTACTTGCCTGTGGGGATCAGGGAAGGATGGTCAGTGGGTTTGGGCAGGCCTGAGGCAGAGGTATGCCCAAGGAGGTGGGGGCTAGTCCCAGGGAACTGCCTCAGCCTGCCCGGATGCCTTGACTGAGGTCCAGCTGATTGACACAGACTCAGCCCCAGAAGGAGCAGAGCCCCTTAACATCCTTGGGAGGGAAATGGGAATTACGGAGAGCTCCCCTTCAAATGAGGTTTGACCTGTGGAAGGGAGGCCTTTCCCAGCACACATGGATGCACAGTCCAAGCAATGGTCCTTCTTTGATGCCCAAGTCTCTACTGGGTCTTTCCTCTGAGAGAACAGAGAGCCCTGTGGTTGGAGAAGCCAGATCCTACTCCATAGGTCCCTAGAAGGTCTGAGCCTGTGGGAATTAGGGGCCAGGGGACCTTTCCCCATTTCCTAGAGTGCAGAGGGGTCAGAGTCGGGGACAGAGGCCCACGTGCCCTGTTCCCGGATAGACACGTACCTAGTGCAGTCAAGATGTCTGTGAGGAACAGGTGCCAGCTCGGTTGTGCAGTGTGGATTCTAGTAAGTGCTTCCCCCATGGCAAGAAGGCCCCGGGTGTCCTCCTCCCTGAGGCGGGCCCCAGCATCCAACTGCTGACTCAGGAGGGCCTGGCAGTGGGCATGGAGGGCCCGGGTGAGGGGCAACTGGACTTCTGGCTTCAGGGAGCAGATCTCAGGGACCACAGTGCCTGGGTTGAGCTTCAGGGCGGAGACCATGTCATCCACAGCTTCCTGCAAGGGAGGAGGTCAGGGGGTGTTGTCCCAGCTGGAGGGACAGTGGGCAGACGGGCAGAGCAGAAGGGCTAGCTTCGTCTTTCCATTCGCTCTCTCAAGAGTATAGAAGGTCTGTCAAGCCCAGCTTCCTGCCCTCCCTGCTCTGTGTGGCTGCAGCCATGCAGCCCATCTCCCATTGCTCACTGAAGGACCCATCTCATCGGCTCCTGATCCTCAATGTAACCAGGCCTGAGGCCAGTCCTTGTGTCTTCCCAGCTGCAACACCTCCCTGGGAGCTTCTCTCAGCTGACTACTGGCCCCACCCCTGTGCCTATCCCAGGGGGTGATTGGCAGCTATCCTTTCCAGTGTCTGGGGTCCTGGAACCCAGAGGTAGGACAAGTGGTTGTGAGTTTATTGCAGGTTTGAAAACTCTCTCTGCTGGGGAGCCTGCCAATGGGGCAGAGGTCGACCTGGAGTGGGAGGGGAGAATGGAGGAGGCACTGAGTATGCTCCTTTCCGGAAGGCCAGGGCACTAAGCTGGGCTCTTTGAGTGCCTCAATGATCAATGGCCAGTTCATTGATCAGGTAAGTCATCTGCAGCTGACCTCTGATCTGGCTTCGCAGGAGACCAGCAGGGGTGCCCTCCTCTTCTTGACTCCGGATGCCTGCCTGCACCTGCCTCCCCTTCTGGGGTTTACTGAATGTTCTTGGTATCTCCTCTTCACTCCTCCGTTGTTACCTTTGTCTTTTTTGTCTTTTTGAGACAGGGTCTCCTTGTAGTCCCAGCTGACCTGAACTATGTAGACCAGGCTGGCCTTGAGCTCACGAGTTCTGGGATTAAAGGTGTGCACTACCACGCCCACCACCTTTGTCTCTTTTTAGCATTTGTTGCCGCGTGTCCTTAGCGTGTCACAGTCAATGCCAAGTCCCTGTGGTCCCTTCACATGCTGTGAGAACCCACCCTGGGTTCTCATCCTCGGTGACATCATTCTACCCTGAGCAGTGAGCCTCAGGGCACAGTGTGGATCTTGCTGCAGGGAGTGGTGGGATGTCCTTGCCTGTCACCGTGAGCTTCTTTCTCCCAGCCGAGCCTCCTCTGCAGTCAGTGTCTCTCTTAGTGTTTCCTGGAGCAGCTGGTGGTCAGCCTGGATCTGCGTAAGCACATCTTTCATTCCTCCTGTGCTCTGAGGGTTATTTTACCTGAAGACTTCTGGGTTGACACCTTTTCCTCAGGGCTTCATGATGTCCCTCCACCGTCTTCCAGCTTCCATGATTCTTGGACAGTCCACACAGCTGGTATTTCCCTACCTAATGTTTCTTTCCTGCTGATTGCTTCCACATAGCAGCTGCCATCCTCGCAGCGAGCACAGATATGCAGACACCTCTTTGAAAAGACTTTGCTTTCAGTGCCTCAAGGTTTATACTGTGAGGTGGGGTACCTGCATTTTGTGTGTGTGTATGGGGGGGCTCAAGCATCCTTCCTTAGGCACTGTCCACCTTGTTTTTAAGATTTATTATGTGTGTGTCTGAGTATATGTATGTGCACTGTGTGTGCAGGTGCCCTCAGAGGGCGTTGGATTCCCTGGAACTGGAGATATAGGCAGTTAATTGTGAGCCATCTGGTGTGGGTGCTGGGAACTGAACCTGGGTCCTCTGCAGAAGCACCTTGCCCGTTTCCTGTCTTGTTTTTTGAGATGATTTCTTGCTGGTTTGGGACTTGATGATACAGCTCTGCTGGCCAGCCCAGGGATCACCTGTCTCCACCTCCCTAGCACAGGGGTTGTATTCTCTCTTCTCTCTCTCCCCCCCACCCCCGCCCCGTGCAAGCACTTTACCAATGGGGGTATTTCCCTTAGCAAGGTAACCTACTTTTGCTTTTTTGCTCAAATATGGTTTCTCATAGTGCCCATGCCATTGTGCCCTCCTACCACAGCGTGCAACAGCTCCAGTTTTTTGTGACAATTTTTGGTTTGGATAGCAGCATCCTAGCAGGTGTGAGATCGCTCCTCGTTGGGATCTGAGTTTCCCTCGGGATTTGTGGTGCCGAGCATCTTCCGTACTTGTGGCCATCTGTGTGTCTTCTTTGGGGAGATGTCTATCCAAGCCCTTCACTCATTTCTGAGCTGAGTTTTGGTTGCTGTTGAGTTTTAGGAGTTTTGCTATATCCTGGGTATGAATCCGTGGTAGGATCTGTGATTTTCAAATGTTTTCTGTTAGTTTCCTTTTCAGTTTATTATTGATGTCCTTTGATCATAAAGTTAAGTCAGGACTCCTGACATCTTTTCTTCTTCTTGTCTGTGTCTCTGGTGTCAGAGCTGAGAGGTCACTGTCCAGCCCAAACGGAGGAAGCTTTTCCCCAGCATTTTCCTCTAACATTATTGGTGCTGTAGATCCTACACTTAGATCTTTGGTCCATTGTGAGGTGACTGGTCTATATGACGTGATGTCAGGATCCACATCCATCTTCTGTAAGCACTCTTCCCAGCACAATCTTTCCCCCTAAATGCACCTGGCAGATTGTCAAACGGCATCTGTGTGAGGGCTCATTTCTGGGTCTCTTCTGCATGTCTGTCTTTCCAACGGTACATGCTGTGTGATGACTGTGGCCTTACAATTATTATATTTTTATTTTAAGTGTATACCTCTGTTGGTAAAGAGGGTGTAGGATCCCCCTGAACTGGAGGTACAGCTGGTCGTGAGCTGCCATGTGGGTGTTGGGAACTGAACTGGGGTCCTCTGCAAGAGCAGTAAGTGCTTTTATTTAGCTCCTAAGCCATCACTCGAGCCCCCCAAGCTGGCTTTGCAAAGAGAGTTTAGAAATTGGGAGTTTGAGTCCTCCAGCTTGGTTCTTTTTCAAAACTGTTTTGGCCACTCAGTGTTCCTTGAGATGTCACAGTAATTTTAAGGCAAAATTTTCTGTTTCTGAGAAAAGAATCACTGGTAGGCAATGTACTGTATCTGTAGATCATTTTTGGTCACAGAAGCATGAGACGTCTTGAGTGTGGAATGTTTCTGGTTATTGGTCTTTAATTTCTCAGCATCTCCCGTAGTTTGTGCAAGTCTTTCACTTGGTCGGGTTCATTTCTAAGGATTTTAAAATTACTTTTGATAGAACTTTCTTAATTTCCTCCACAGGCTGATCCACAGCTGGATTAACTTTCTTAATCCACCCACCCTGCACGCATTTCCAAGTTGGTCTGTATCCTGCTACTTTGCTGAGTCCACTTGTTAGTTCCAAAAGTTACTTCCAGGAACCTTTCGGGCTTTGGTCTATGGAACCACGTCATCTCACCGGTAAGGTCTCACCTCCTTTCCAATTTGGAGAAAAGCCTTTGGGCACTTCACCATTTGGTATGATGTTCAACATGAGATTTTAATGTTGTGGTTTCCTTCTGTTCCTGGTTTGTGTTTTTAAGTCATGGAAGACAGTTGAATACTGTCAAATGCCTTTTCTGCATCTATGGCCTGGTCACATGTCCACCCGTTCCATCCCTCTCATGTCATGTCTTATATTAATCAAATTTTCATGTATACCATGAACAGACCTCACCTGGTCATGGTCTAGTCCTTTAAGAATGCTGCTGAATTTGTTTTGCTAGTATGTTCCTGAGGATTTTAGCATCTGTGTTCGTTAGCGATGCATGTGTGTAACTTCCTCTTCAGTTCTTGTACTGTCTTTCTAGTTTGGCTCTGCTGACATCAGAATGAATTAGGGGGTGTTCCTGACTATTGGAAAGGATCACTGTCAGTCTTCTCTACGTGTCTGCTGAACTCACCAGCGAGGACCCTGGGTCCAGGGCTTTGCTTGGCTTGTCTAGCTGGCCCCAGGTCTAGGGTTTTGCTTAGTCTAACTAAAAAGTGGTCAATTTTCGCAGTATTGGGGATGATTCCAAGGCCTCACACATGCTAAGCAAGTATTCCGCCACTGGGCTACATCCCTAAGCTATCTATTTGTTTGTTTGTTTTTTAAAGAGGGTCTGACTATGTAGCCCAGGCTGGTCTCAAACTCATGACTTGCCTCAGCCTCCTGAGTACTGGAATTACAGGCAGTTACCACTACACCTGACTCTTTTTCTCATTAAAACCCTTTTTTGAGGTTGGGTCTCACTCTGTAGTCCAGGCTGGCTTTGAATTTGTGGTCCTCCTGCCTCAGCCCCTGGGTGGCTGGATCGCTGACCTACACCAGAAGGCCCAGCCATCTCTCGCTTGTTTCTAGCCTAAGCACCCGTCTCTGTCACGTCGCCTTGATGCCCTTTCCTCTGTGCCTCGTAAGGCCTGGCGCATTGTGTTTTAGTTTGCAGCCACCTTTCAGGATTTCTAACTTCCTATGTGATTCCCTCTGATGGGGTGTTTGACAGCCCCTCCTGGAGAAGAGACACTGGGGCATGAGAGGTGAAACCCAGACCTGGACCCCTGTCTGGGCTCCTGAGCCCGGGCTCTGGAGCAGCCCTGGGGTAGGACATGGACCCCAGGGGCCAGATGTGTGGCTTACAGGGCAGACACAAAGGAATGTTTGTAAAGAAATGGAGAGCACCCAGGCCCCTGATGCAGGCGAGATATGTCCCCCTGCCAGCCTCAATGTTTCATTAGGGGTTAGAGCTGCTTCTGGAAGTCTTAAGCACATGGCAGCTCATTTAAAAAGCAGGTGAGGTTCAAGCCAGTTTCAAGGGCTCCATTGCTGTGCCCATTGCAGACATGACTAATCAGTACCAGCACTAATTTCCTCAGTGCCTGTCTGATAAACCCTTTACAACACAGGTGTCCTTTGTGCGTACCACTGAAGGAGACCACTGGCACCTACACCTTGTGGAGAGACACCTGTATCCAGTGAGGAGTTGATTTAGGCTAGAAGTTCCACTAGTTGCCCGGAGGCCATGGATAGTTGCTTGAGCATCTATTCTAGTAGACTGAGGCAGGAGGGCTTGGAAGGGCAAGATCAAGAAAGTGGATCTGTGTGAATATGGCTTTTGCTCCCTGCAGTGCTTACTGGGAGGAGAATATGGAGTTCTGATAGGTACCCTGCTGCCTGGAGGGCCTAAGCATGCTCACCCTCCTTGGGTGACAGAGGAAGGCAGCACTCTGAGTCTCCCTCATCCCTGCTTTCCCAGCCCCAGGTGGAGAGGACAGGCTGGCACCTGCAGCTGGTCCAGGGCTAGGTGCACGAGGGCCCGTCCACACAGAGCTTGCACGTTCCCCGGCTCCTCCCGCAGCACGGAGTTGAAGTCGAACATGGCCGTCTTCTTCTGACCCAGGAGCCCATAACAGCGGGCTCGGGTGAGGAGGGACTCTCCGGCCTCACTCCCTGCAGGAAGTATACGTTCAGAATGTGGCTGTGTCTGGACTGCTTGTCTCGTCCAGTGCCCCATCTGGTGCCCGATCTGGGCAGAACATCACAGAGCACACTCTGGGGAGCTTACACTCCAGTGGTCACCAAGACAGAGGCAGGCGGTCAGAGGCTCTGGCCACAGGGAAGGAGGAGCCCAATCAAGAGGAGTGGTGTCTGGGAGAACTGGTGGCTGGCTGGGGTCTTCCAGGAAGGTCAATCCCACAGTCTCTGAGGAAGGGGGCAGGCCAGGCATATGTAGGGCAAGGTCCTTGGGCCAGGGCAGGAAAGGCAGCATGTGCTAAGGTGTGAGGCTCACAGTGGGTGGCAAAGGAGAACCTGAATTCTGGGAGGTGGGCCCTTCCTCAAAGAGGATGTCCCCACTATACCCGTCTGGTGTCTGTCCAGTGCTTGTCACTGGGAACCACACGTTTGACTCTTCAGGTCACTCTGGGACCTGTCCCTTCTCTGACACTGGTGACTTGCAGAAAGCAAGCAGTTCCCTAGCCGCCCCTATACCCCACATGGACTCTCTCCCACATGCTCTGAGGAAAGAGCGGTGAGGAGGTGCCCGCACATTCTACCAAGAAGACACCGTAGTCTAAAGGAAGGTCTACACTTGCCTCTGTGCCCCAAAGACTTACCTATGGCAATACCTTCCCTCTGAACACCTTGTGCCCCACACCATGGTGCCTTCAGCACTCTGTTCCAGCACACAGAGGCAGACTCAAGACAGTCCTGCTCACCCAGGTGGGGTGGCTTGGCTAGGTGTGGTGGAAGCCAGGTGTGCCCATACCAAACCTGTCACTACAGCGAAGGGCTTAGAGGTCTCAAGGCCTGGCCTCATTAGAAAGAGGCAGGAACTGTAAAGGGGGCTGTCCACCCTCCGGGTGTAACATGCAGGAAACACATGCAGTGTCCTCAGGGTGTAACATGCAGGGCAGAGCGGTCCAGGAGCAGGGCAGGGTCCCATCAGGTTGCCACTGGCCCGTTGAGACCCTTCTCAGGCCTTCCTACGTTCACTGAATAGCCAGGGCCTTAGCACAAGGTGCCCTTAGCGCGTGGTCTCTCCCTGTCCACACTGTGGAGGCTCCAGGGCATAGGAACACATCGAGCAAGCTTGTCCTCAGATTCCATATCTCCCATGTGGCTGGCACGGCACTGGACCCCTGGGACTGGTCGGGGTTCCTACCTGCGGCAAAGATGGCCAGCGAGAGGTAGGCGACGGCTTCTCTGGTGTGGGCCTCGCTGTCTGACATGCTTGGCTGTGCCCGAAGGATGCTCAGTGCCCGTGTATGGCAATGGCTTTGCAGCAGCTGCCGGTCCTCACGGTGGAAGACAGCCAGGGTGTCCTGGAGACAGGCTGTGTCTCCGGACTTGATCACCTTCTTCACCAACTGCAGGGGCGAGAGTGGAGTCCCCGCTGTCCTCCCCTTTGACGTCCTCTCCTCTCCCTGTCTTTGCCTTCCCCAGCACTCCCCACCCTTACTAGGCCCTGGCTCTGTCTCCAGAAGCACGAGCAGCTATTCTGAGCATTGAAAGGTTTGCTGGGAATTGTAGCCCTGGCCATTTAAGTCTTAGAAGGTATATATGTCCCCCACCCACCACAGGGCTTCCATAGGGCAGGAACTGCCTCCCCACAGTGGGCAGGGACTGGGTGGTGAGGGGTGCTCTGCAGTAGACAGCCCACCCTGCCTGTGGCAAAACTAGGCGGGGACTCTCTTGTCCCTGAATCTTGGCCTTCTCCTCTGTCACATGGGGGGTGGAGACCACACCACAATATGCTGACTCAAGGAAGCCCTGAATGACAAGCTTAAGCATGGGACCTTCAGAGCAGCAAGTCTCGGGGCCCCAGGGAGCTGTTTAGAAAAGAGCTCAGGGTCTGCCCAGGCTCTGGCCCCAGGCAGATGTAAGCTCCCCTCTCCCTGGCTCTATCTTAGGGAAACCCAATGCTGTTCCCTGTGAGTCTGGTGCAGACTCCTGCTCCTGGCGGAGGATAGGCAGGTCGCAGGGTGATCTCCTGCCTACCCTCCTACCCAGGGAAAGGGGACAGGACCGTAGCCAGACCAAGAAGAAGAGGCTGGCTGGTCCCTCAGCCAACACAAAGGTCTGAAAGCCCCCATGACACGACTTGTGGGCTGTGGTACATACAGAGACCTTCCAGAACACCTGAGCCAGGTCTTGCTCCGTCATCCTGGGAGCACAGGGTTCTCAGAGGTCAAGGCCTGGAGTCCCCTGTGGTATGCAGTCCTCCACTCCAGGGAGGGTTGTGTCCAAACCTAGTATATTTGGGAGACGCAGGGAGGAACTTTGCTCATGATCCTTTGGTTCTTAGCCACTTTTCATTATACCCGCCCTAAAGCAATTAGGAAGCACCTACTGTATGCATGAACCTGCTAGGAACCTACTAGTATGCACAAACTTGGGGCACCGACCTCAGCCAATTTCCTTGACAACCTACAAGAGCAGGTACAGATGAGGAGGTTGGGGGTCAGAGAGATGAAGATCAACTGCAGGTGGTGGATTGGGGCTTAACGAGGTTTGTTTGCTCCAAAGTCCAGCCTCGTAGGGTGCAGTGCTGAGGCCACAGGATGCATGGTGCCCCCTGCCAAGCGGTGTCCATTTTCACCTGCCCTGTCACAGCCCACCCGGGCCTTCTTACCTGGTTAGCATCATAGCCAAAGCCCCTCCGCAGCTGCAGCAGGGCGAGCCGTACCAGCACGGGGGCTGCCTGGGGCCTCCGGGACAGGGCCACCAGTAGGGACTTGTGGGCATCATCCAGGCGGCCCAAGCGGTACAGGGCATCAGCTGCCAGGAGGCATGAAGCCTCATCCTCCTGGTCCAGCTCCATCAGCAGAGTCGCCAGCTGGTACACACCACAGGCATCCCTACGGAGAGATGGCTCAGTGTGAGCCAGCCCCTTCTCTCCACCCCCTCCACTGCCCAGGAGGTCAGGCCTCAGGTAATTCTTGTCCCCCTGCCCCTGCCCTGGGCATCTCTCCCTTCCCACAGACTACAGATCCCCAACCTGACCCCTTACCCTCTCCTCTACTCTTCCCACCACCCCACAGGGCAGGTGCCGTACGGAAGGGGGAGCTGAAGCTGTGTAATGACTCTTAGTGTGCCCTGCCTCCGTTTCCTTTTCTACAAACACAAGGATTAACAGTTCGACTTTGCTAGGGCAGACTGTTTGCAGTAATCTGGATTTTTAATGAACTCAAACTGGGAAAAGGGTCCTCAAATGGGACAGCTTCCCCCAGACAGAACAAATATGAACAACCCTAACCACACAGGGCAAGTCTTCCTCACCAGCAAACCAAAGCAACAGAAATCACCCCAGGGCAGAGGAAGCCCATGGGGCAGGTATGGGGAAGGGTGAACAGTGGTGGTCTTTTTCTCACCATTTCTCAGCCACCAGGGTGCTGCCCAGACAGCTGGAGGTCTACCCGTCCAGTGGCACAGTGTGTAATGTGAGTATGGGGAAGGCAGTACCTAAGCCAAAGACCCAGAATTCTTTAGAGCTGCTGAGCCAGAGCCACAGGCCTGTCCCCTTCTTAAGACAAGATGTATCAACAGGGTGGAACACAGCTGCCTTCAAATGAGTTTAGCAACAAAGGAAAAACTTAAACTCACCATCTACACAGTAGGCTACAAGCTGCACAGTCGGCAAAAACTCCATTTTCAGAGAAACGTTTTATGTGCGCAATAAGAAACGACCAGGACTTACCGCAGCAGCCTGAAGCCCAACTTTGATTTTTGTCCTTTCCATTTAAAAAGAAGATTTTAATTTTGAAATTATGTGTATGTCTGTGTGGGGGTTATGTGTATGTGAGTGCAGGTTCCCTAGCAGTACAGAGGCTTTGGGTCTCCTGGAACTGGAGTTGCAGAAGTTGTGAGCTACCCATGTGGTTGCTGGGAACTGAACTCAGGCTCAGAAAAGTACTCAACCACTGAGTCATCTCTCTAGCCAGTTTTGAGTTTCTTTTCCTTTCTTGTTGAGACAGGGTTTCACTTTGTAGCCCAGCTGGCTTCAAACCTGTGGTAATCCTCCTGCCTCTTAAGTGCTAACCGGTCTAGGAAGTGGAAGCCCACAGTGCACCTGGTTTTGAATCTGAGGCTCCTGAGGTCTTAGACCTGGGGCCAGATTGCCCACCCTTGCCTGGGGAAGTCACCCAGGCAATCTGGCCTCAGTCAGCTGTCAATCAAACATTAACAAGCCCTCCCTGCCTGGCTCAGTGGCTGCCTCACACCTTTGATCCCAGCACTGGGGAGGCAGAGGCAGGTGGATCTCTGTGAGTTTGAGGACAGCGTGGTAGACATATCGATTTCCAGGCCAGCCAGGCCTACAAAGTGAGACCCTGTGTCTAAATAAGTACATGAATAGATAAATGATAGATAGGTAGGTAGATGACAGGTAGATAGGTAGATGATAGATGATAGGTAGATAGATATAGATAGATGATGGATGATAAGCAGATAGGTAATGATAGATGATAAGTAGGTAGATGATAGACAGATTGGATGATAGCTAGCTAGATGATTGATGGATGATACATAGATGGATGATAGGTAGATGCATGATAGATGACAGGTAGGTAGATGAGGGATAGATGGATGATAGCTAGGTAGGTAGACAGATAAAATAGAGAGAGGTAGGTAGGTAGATAGATGGGAGAGGATATAGATGGTAGATAAATGACAGATAGATGGATGATAGGTAGATAGGTAAATGATAGGCGATAGATGATAGACAGGTAGGTGGACAGATGATAGATAATTGATAGGTAGGTGGACAGATGATAGATGATTGATAGGTAGGTGGACAGATGATAGATGATTGATAGGTAGGTGGACAGATGATAGATGACTGATAGACAGGTGGACAGATGATAGAGATTGATTGATAGGTAGGCAGGTACACAGGTAGGTAGACGATAGATAATGGATGACATTTGAAAGGGCAGCCAGAGCAGAAGCAGCGGTCCGTGACGTCGAGCCCGAGGCTGGTCCTTACCCCTCCGGAGCCCGCACGGAGGAGCCCGCGACCTCCGCCGCCTTCCTGCCGCAGCCGGGCGCGCGCAGCAGCATCCTGCGGCCCTCCTCCCGCAGCACGGTCAGCAGCAGCCCCCGCTGGTTCCAGGGCACGTAGGCCTTGGCGGCCAGCAGCGCCTCCTCCGGCCGCAGCCGGCACGCGGTGACGTAGTCCAGGGCGCCCAGGAAGGCGCCGCCCGCCAGCACCCGCAGCAGCCCGCGGCCGCACAGTGCGCGCACGCAGCCGACCGCGTGCGGCGCCCCGCGCTCCAGCACCACCTGGAAGTCCTCGCGCGCGCGCCGCGCATCCC